TAATTAGGAAGGAAGAAGAAAAGCTATAGATCTAACATCATCTTTTACCGTCTTTTAAATACCATGTTAAGAGATGATCTCTAACATCTTTCACCACCTTTTAAATTCTTGATCCCACTTTCTCATTTCCTATAATCCCACTGCTACCAAACTTTCACCCCCACCACTCCCACCAAAACTGCTCAAGATCATTGATAACTTCTACACTGCTAAATTCGGCGACTGATTCTCAAGTCCTCATCTTTCTTACCAGACCTATTAGCAGCATCTGACATAGTTGATCATTCCTTCCATTCTGAAATGCTTTCTCCACTTCACCCCCAGGACTCCACAATCCCCGTTCTTCGTGGTCCTGCTCCTCAGTCTTCACTGGCTCCTCCTTTCTCCCCAGACCTTTTGAAGTCAGAGGCTCAGTCTCAGGATCTATTCTCTAAAGTGACCTCATTCACTCAGTAATTTCATTTACTCCTGTGGCTCTACATTACTGTCCATATGTGAATGATCCCGAACTTTTGTCTCCATGATGGTCTTCTCCTATAGCTGCAGGTTCCATCTGCTTATCCAACACTTGCACTGGGTTTCTAATAGTCATTTCAAATTAAGCATGTCCAAGACAACTCCTGATCTCCCTCTTGCCCCTAAATAGCTTCCTTCCCTCAGTTTTTCCCATCTCAGTTACTCATGCCAAAAATCCTGGAATTATCCTTGACCTTTGGTTCATATCCACATTTACCTTGTCATCAAACCTTGTTTTGCTTCACCTTCAAAATATTATTCTGACTCTTGACCACTCCTGAACAGCTCTCATGCCACCCCTCTGCCATCAGCTCTTGCCTGAGTTACTGAAAAGCCTTCTAACTGGTTTTCCTTTGTCTACCTTGCTCCGGGTTATTCTCAACACCACGGCCAAAGCGATTACCTTAATATATGTCAGACCACGTCACTCTTCAAAAGCTTCCAGTGGCTTCCCATCTTACTTGGAGGGAAAGCCCAACTTCTCACTATAGCCAAAAAAGGCCTATGATCATTGCACCCTTTCCCTTTTGTCCCCATTACCTAACCTCTGACATTTTCTCTTAGCCTCCAGCCACCTAGGCTTCTTGGTTATTCCTTGAATTCAACAAGAACCTCCAGTCTTAGGCCTCAGCACTGTTCAGTTCCTCTCCTCGGGACATTCTTCCTTCAGATTCTACATGCTTCATTCACCTCCTTCGAATCTTTGCTCCAGTATCATTGGCTCAGTGAGCTCTTCTCTGACCACCCTATTTAAAATTGTAGGTTCCTTTCTCTACCATCACCCTCACCCACCTAGCACACCCTTTTCCTAAGGCTGCTGTGCCCCTGAAGTGACTGCGCCTCTTCCCTCTCTCTCCTTTATTTTTCTCTACTTTCCATTTTATATTTCAGAGTTTGCTGTCTGCCCACTCACTCCTTTCTAATGCAAACTCCACGACATGGAGACGTCTGTCTGCCTTGTCCACTGCTGTATCCCCAGTACCTGGAAGGCTAAGTTGAACAGGTAGGCATTAAGTGAACTTTTGTTGAATGACTACCCCCCTAACTATACCATTTTAAAGACTGAATTCTGTCACCCTCAAGTTAGCTTCCTTTTCCAAAATACCCCATTTCTGTTGCACTGCTGTTCTAACTTCTCAGATCAGTAGACATGGAGTCATCTGTGACTCTTCATCCCCCTTTAATGTCTTCTTTAGCTAACCAGCAAGCACTGGTCATTTCTTCCTTCCAAGTCTTTTTCTTACCATTCACATGAAAATAAGCCTAAATTCTGGTTTTCATTACCACACTACTCAAATATAATCTCTTTTATCTATCCCTACTTAATCCACTGTAGATTTCTAACCCAAAGAACCTAAAATAATTCAATAGTCATTCAACCAATATTAATTGTTGCTTTTTATGTGCTCACCGCTATGGGAGAAGTGCTGCAGTTGTAGAGATGAGTAACAGGCTTCCTGCTGTCAAGCAAGGGGTAGGTGGCTCTCATATGGCTTATCAAATCCTAACTTTGCTTGTCTTTCAATAAATTAGGCAATATACAACCACACTTGACCAATTAGCCAATCACACCTCACCTTATTTCTCAAATGTCTTTGTAACACCAGACACACGATCTCTATTATCCTCTTCACCTCACCTACACCGATTTGTTCCTGCCTTAGGCTTTTGATGATAACAATACCACAATCTAGAACGCCTTTTTACCTTCCCATTCCTGTGGCTATTTTAATAACTAATTCTCTAAGTGGAGATGGCAAACACTGTAAATTAGACTGGATGGGAATTGGGCTGAACTAAGGAGCATTTTCCATCTAAAGGAGGCAGCCACCACTCGGAACCGGCCTGCACTGCCAAACAGGAATATGAATCCACTTGCTAGATCATCCAGTATTTCAAGAGAACCAAGAATGCAGATTTTATAATAAGCCTACAATTTTTTGACATTGACAATTCATTCTAGTTTTTGAAAATGACTGTGTGGACTAAGCAAATTATCAGCAGACTCCACGCAGCTTACACAGCTGAGCCCTACCACCTCAGCCGGCCCAACTACTACAGCTCCTACTCCTCTCACCATTCTTTGACCATACTGGCTTTTTTTGGACATTACAGTTCAGCACTTCATTTCTCTAATCAGTTTCTCACTCAAACTGCTAAATGCAGTGTATTCCCTTGACATATCTTCAAAGTCTCTCAATTCTGCCCCCTTCTTTCCATTCTGCTAGCTACCATACAAGTTCTGGGCTACTATAATTGGCCCTTAACTGGTTTTCCTGTTATCATCATCTGTCCTTCACAGAGCTGTCCAAGGCCCTTTCCTTCAACACAAATTAAGTATCTAGGCCACTTTTCAAAAATTGTTTAATGCTCCCTACATGTAAACCAATCAAGTTCAAACTCTTCTGAGTATACATTTACATGCTTCATGACTGTAAACCCCCCCTAAGCTTTAGGTTCTATACTTCCCAGAGGTACACATTAGTCCCCAAATGCAAATTATGCTACCTTGGTATTTTGCCTACTATTTTCCATGAGCTTAGAATATACTTCCCTACCTCTCTGACTATAAACATCTCCCTCATCGTTTAAGTTCTAATTAAAACGTCACATCATTTATGAAGCATTTCCTGGTCTCCTCAAACTACCAAAAGCTGTTCTTTCCAATGTTTGACCTTTTTATAATCCAATTACAGCACCCATTTTTTTCTACTTGTATTATTCACCCGACTGATACCCCACTTCCAGAAAACAGGAACATTTTACTCATTTTTCACTCAAAGTCACAGAACAAATGGAGCTCTACACACATACTGGATTTTACAGCTGCAGTAAATCCTTGTTAAACAGAAACCTACTAACTGGAGCTCTAATTTAGAATTATTTTGCCACATTACTCTTACATCAAGAGCAATACAAAGAAAAAGTCTTTGAAGGGATGACCTGGCATGAGATCAATATACACTCAGCTCAATTCTTAAAACCTTTTATCGCTTAAAGCCAGAGAATAATGACTAGATGGTGCAAAAAAACAGTGAACTACCAAGTATTCAATTATGTTCAAGTTACTTAATAAGAAAAAGCAATCTAGCCCAAACCATCTCCCAAGTTTATAGTGGATTAGAAGAATTTCAATAGTTCAAACAGGGTCTTCATGTCAAAAACATTGTTATGTAGCATGTTGCTCTTTTACCCGGTATTAATTATACCAACATTTTCATAATATGGAGACAGTATCCAAAGCATGTTTAATATGGCTGACTTCACAATTTACATGCGACCAGGAAACCAAGGCCAGAGGGGATCAGAGAAATGTAGCATTTTAAAAACATAAAATAGGCTGCTGGCATTAATATCAAATACATCCTTTAGTGTATCAATGCTCTGATTCTCACATGTACAAATAACTGTTAAAAATTTTTTTGTTTTACATTTCAAATAATTTGTGAGACAAATCTAAGCATAGGAGTTTAGAATGTATAAATTACTCATGACAATGAATCATTAATATTTCATTTCTCTTCCAGTAAGCTTAAGAAATTAGGCTGGTAACTATCTTCACTTCATATTCACTACCAGATTACAGAAAAAATGCAAATTTGATAGAATTAAGTACTCTGACCACATGTGTTAAATTTGATGACAATGATTGAGTTTACCTGTTTGAAGAGCACTATAAAGATGGGAGTAATTCAACCTGTGAGAGAGAGGAAGCGCCGAACTAAAGAGAGGCATGGTAGTGGCTCAGCAATTTACCCCAGTATGCAGGAAAGAAGAAACACACTATGAAATGAGAGTTCAGGAATAATTTATAGAAAAGAGAATTCAACACAGAGCCGCAGAATTGTGAGATTTGGGAGATTAAAAAACTGATTAAAACAGAAGAAAGAAGACAGGTACTACCACTTTTGGTTTTTGTCTTCTGTGAAGGGCAAAGAAGGGAATGAGGAGCTCAGCCACCTCTATAAAGGAAGAGAAGTTCCTTGAAATGAAATCAATCTAGGAGACTTCAGTTACATCAGTATTTTTTTTTTTTAGCTTAACCGAGATATAATTAAAAATTGTATATACTTAAGGTGTACAACTTGGTGGTTTGATATACATACACATATGAAATAATCACCACAATCAGGTAATTAACATATCCATCACCTCACATAGTTACCATGCATTAGTATTTTGGAGTCCCAAAAGCAAGAGGGATATACCCAAACAACTTGCTTTAAGACATTTAATAATTTATTTTTTATGAAAGAGAAGTTTGGGGTTGTTTTCTTTTAATTAAGCTATCATTGATATACACTCTTATGAAGGTTTCACAAGAAAAACGATGTGGTTAACTACATTCACCCATACTATCGAGTCCTCCCCATACCCGATTACAGTCAGATATTTAATAATTTAAGATCACCATCAGGTGAGACGTATCAGTTACTCTGGGAAAAAAGAATTCTTGGATAAAATATCCCTACGTTGCTAACAGAATTTCATCATGATTCTACCAAAAGTCCAACACTAGTAACTTTATTATGGGCATAAAAGGGGAGCTCCAGATGTTCTAAGTTGGTTAAAAACAATGAAATGTCTTCACAAATGTGACTATAGTAAATCATAAAGGAAATCCACAGAAGAGGGAACATGCGAAAGAAACCAGAAGCCACAGGAAATTAGAAATCAACTATTAGAAGCAGCTTTGTAATCTAGGAGCTTGAGAAAAGGGTCCTGTTATTTGTTAATGTGATTCAAAAACAGCTGCAATACATAAATGGGGCAGGGCTGAGAAAAAAATATACTCTGTATTCTGTGATTAAAGGAATACACAGGTAACTACATAAGAACTATAATATATAACACACAAGGTATATAAGAACACAATTATAAAAATAATAATTTTCATAGGTAGACTGTGAAATCACTCCCATCATCATCACTCCTTTGATAGGCTGGCTACTCAAGCAACTTCTCCCTTTTGATTAAATCTGGGAGAAATAGTAAAGCCATCAAGGGCTCAGAGAGGAAAAGTGCTGCATCATCCAAACTGGGCTCTATTCACACACTGCCAAAGAAAGATTTTAAGATACTGCAAAGATAAAGGAAAAAAAGGGCTACAGTAAAATACAGAAGAGAAGAGTAGAAATTTCTGCGGATGTTATTCCAAAACTGGAAAAAGAGATAGAGAATAAAAGTAGTGGCTTCAAAAAAATTTCTTAAGTGGTAATATATTTTGTAGGAAAAGGTACAATGGGTTCCACGTAAGAAAAATGAAAGGAAATCATCATTAAGCTCAAGCGTGATCTCTTAAAGGAGCTAAACGCATGTAAGAATTTGTGAATCACATATAGATTTTTGTATGAGGAAAAAAGAATTTGAGTATATGAAATGAAAAATATTTCTGAACTCTGAATATCTATTTTTAGAGATCTCAGATACTGCACTGTCCAGTACAGGAGTTAAATTTTTAAATACTAAAAATTCACTTCCTTAGTCACACTAGCCACAGTTTAAGTGTTCAATCACCACACGCTTGCCGCGGCTAGCTAACATGCTGGACAGCGCTTACTGTAGGGCATTTCCATGATCACAGAACATTTTATTGTACACCACTGATCTAGAGAAATGAGACTTTTTAAACTGAAGAATTATGATTCCATGTCTATGAAAGGACCAGCCTGAAAGCAAGAAAACAGTAATTTCTCATAATTCCAAACCCCTTATAATAGTTTAACAGCAATCATTTTCAAAGTATTGTAGAGAAAACCACAGTTTACATTTAAAAATAGGTCAGGTCAAAGTCATTTGGCTTACCTTCACACAAATTTTTGATTTACATTCTACAAAAGAAAAAAAAAATTACCAAACTATCAACCAAAACCACACAAAGGCAGTCACAAAATAAAAATTTAAATAGCACTGTGATAAGATATTAAGCAGAAATATTAACCCCAAAGGCAGTAATTTTAAGTCCTGTCTGAATGTTCTTTTATGGTGTAGTTCCTTTATTTCTATTTCACCTTTATTCTCCAAGACAAAACTATATAAACAGGTCAGAGAAAAAGAAAATAATGTGATGAGGACTTTCAAAGTTATACTCAAACAATACATTCTTCACATGCACAGAGCACAAATATGTAAGCATCACCTGCTTTTTAGGCAATATTTGCTACATGCAGATATAATGAAGAGATAATATTACACATGAAATATACTGGAACAGTAACATTTATGAATAAATACTGACAGTGGTAAGCAGTGATGTAATCTGACTTTACTTGGCTAAAAGTAAATTTGAGGAAGTTAGGTGAAATAGCTTTTTTCAAAGTATCATTTAAATATCACTCCATTACAAGCAAAAAGTCAAAGTAGTATAAACTTTCTTTATATAAGTATTTAAAGCTTCACATTTAAAACTTTCAGGAACATAGCATACCATATGGAGACAATATTAGCTTTGTTTTTCCATCCAACAATTCAGTTTCAAGCTTTAAGCCATCTCTGCAAAATAAAAGTTTTCTGTCATTTTTAAGAAACAGCAACATTTTAAACAGCCAGAAATGCTCATTGGAACCTTGAAAATAAATATGTTCTTTTGAATTTATACTAGACTCATAAATATTAAATTATTATTTTAATTAAAAACATTTTCCAATACAAGATAAAACTAAAAACCAGACAATTCCTGAAGCTTTCCAATAATAGAAAGGATTTGTTGTCTTTAACCTGAAACTTTGTTTTGTTACTGGTAAGAAACAAGTAAATTTATCACACCATCGTTTAACTCTTGTTAACTCTAGACTGGAAAAAATAATAGTTACCAAAGCTCCTCACCTAAATTAAGGGAGCAAAATATATCTAACTACCGTTTATTGGTTTCATAAAGATATCATGACTAACACATTCCATGGAATGCTAGAGCATTATCTGATAAGGGGCTCTAACACTGCCACCTGGGTTATTATCTGCTTGAACACAATTCCACTGTAGTTTGAACTTTTCAACTAATATATTCACATTTGACAACACTCTTACTTCAACAATAAATCTATAATGAACTTCTGTCGCTATACTTCACTTGTACATAACAACTGCACGAGCACAAAGCAGAGTGCCAACAAACTCGTAAATCTGTTAAGGTCCTAATGAAAACTCCACTGAAAACAGAAATGGCAGTCCAGTTAATTCACTGATAGTACCAAGAAAAAAAAAAAGGTGTATGTCAGTAAAAACGTCAATCGACACACAAGTGTGACCCACGAGACAAAATGAAAACCAGTGGGATAAAGAAGATAAAGAGAAGTTGAGAAAGGCCTGCTTAGGAACACGAAATCTGCGGTGCTTCCAAAGTAGGGGAGATTTAATTACCTCAACCTACTTAAGATACATTGGGAAAAAATGGGTTTTAAGAGTTTCCCTGTTGCAGGATTAAGGTTTTTTAACAAAGACAGACCTCCAATGAAACCGCGACGTATGTTCAGCACAAATGCACTGTAAACTCCCTTCAAGGGCAGATTGTCTTTATTTTTATATCCCTAGATGCCAGAACACAGATTTAATTTGCTAAAAGATAGGCAGTTTCATCTCACGATACTACACTTCTAAGGGATGAAAGCCAAACTAGTCCTTTTTCTTTACGCAACCACCACTTAACCGCGGGCCCGCTAGGAGCCGGGCACTGGCAACGACGCCTGCTCGAGGACACCCGGCTCCTGGCGCGGCGGGCGTTAGACTCACCTGCGAGCCCCTACAAACTGCAGACTCCAAAGCCGGGGTCGCAGAGAGCCAGGGCCCCGGGCCAGGCGTTCTGGCCCTAATTCCGAGGAAAGACGGCCTGCGGGCGTCACGACCCCCAGACCCGGGGAGCCGCTAAGCGCTCTCTCCCCGTCCGTCCTCACCGCCTACCGTCCCTCCTCCCTCCCCGTCCTGGGGTAAAGGCGCTCACGGGCTGTTTCCACGCGGGGTGTTAAGTGGAAAAGCGAGGCCTGCCTGCCAGGACGGTGAATGCCGACCCGGCCCCTCGCCCCCTGCCACCTCGGGGCGTGGGGCGGCGCAGGACGCGAAGGTTCTCGCGATGGAAGCCAAAGGACAAGCCAGCCTCATGCCGTCCTCGCTGACGCCCGCCTTTCCCGCCCCGGCTTACCCCAGGTTCATGGCCCGACCTCCGGCTCCATCCACAGGGCGCTCGGGCCCTGTGTACGTTTGTTGCTGTCGCCGCTCAACAAGCGCTATGCTGACTGGATATAGCGATGCGGGAGAGTTGAGAGAGCAGACCAATCAGAACTGGGCGTACTGGCGGGTCCTCTCGGAGGGGGCGGGGCTGCCCGGGGGCCGAGGCGGTTGGCCCACCTGGGGAGGTGGAGGCTTTGTTTTTTCGGAGTTGCCCGCGGAGTTCCCTGGGGACCCCTAGGGGAGGGTCCTCCGTTCAGGTGGAGGTAGCAAAAAAAAAAAAAGGGGGGGGGGGGAACAAAAAACAAATACGTTTGTAGGAAATGAACATTTTTAAAGTTTAAAAATTGGAAGGGGGGGGTTTTTTGGG